GAATTTTTCTGTCTACACTATATCGATATTTTGTACTTATGTAGATAGATTCCAAAACTGCTAGATGGAACGACGATCGGGCTTTACCAATAATCTGAAAGATGTCGCCATTATAGTTTTTTGCACAATCTGGGTTTGTCAGTAAACGCTACCCGATATCAGAATCGCATGTTTAAGCTGTAGTTTTAGATCTGCAAGAGCGAAGTGGCTGTTCTGCTTCGGGAGAGTTTTGTTTCTAATGCTAGAAGGAACATGCTGTTTTTTATCTCCCCATATTTCGGTTGTGCGTTCTACGTAGCCAGAATCGCACAGACATGTAAACTCATATGTAACGGATCTCTTTTGGATAGTAGAACGCAATCCTTTTGAATAGATGAAAGAACCTTTTTGGTATTCAGTGTCGTTTCTACGGGGGGCCAGGGGGCACCCCCGACCCCCGAAATTTTCTTTGTCTCTTGTTTGCCCCCCCCCCCCAGTTTTTTCAAAAGTTTCTATTCAAGTCAAATATTATCACGAAGGTACACCTTCTTGGATTTGGCTTCACAGGGTAAGCCCACATCAAGATTCTCTACATCCCATTAAAAACCCTTTTCGCTCTGGAACCCAGCGCAGGGAAATACCAATACCATCCCAGTACACCTTGACAATCTACTACTGCTTATCAAAATTTTATGATTTGCAATTCTGTGTCACGAATGATTTGCTTGATCTCACAGAGGCTGGGTATAGGACATAACTACTGTGGAAAAATTTTACCAATCAACTTTACAAAGCTATTATCCTGTTATTTCAGAAATATAGTTCTTCTGTTGAAATTCTAATGTTCATGAATTTTTTGTTAAACAGATAAACTCAGTGGAGTAACAGACCAAAGTTACCTTTAATTAAATAACAAACGGTCCCGAACGTTTAGGGGCCCCAGCAACAAGTTTTCTTTGTTATTTTTCCTAGGGGACGCAGCTGCTCCTTACACCACTAATAAAACTATTTGGCATAATGTAGACAGCTTTGATAGAGCTGTACCAAGGACATACTTATCTACAATCCTGGACAAAAAAAGTAGAGACTTTTCAAAAAAACTTTATGTTTTCTCTTTGAAAAATAGCTTTTTCCCTCCCCCAATTCATTGCTGACTACATGATTTTGAAGCAAATATGATACAGCTACAAATCCAACATTGATATGAGGGGAAAGGGGATTTGAATATATAGGGGCAACATAAAAAAAATTGCAGAAATTGCATGCTGTCTCATTAATTTTGTCCGGGATTGTAGGGGACGCTAAAAATCAGTGCCTTGTAGCTAATTTTGAGCCACCACGCAAATGCTTTACATTCTACTAGTTCGCAAAGTAATAGCTATCGTTGGCCCATATTACTGAAAGCTGACCGACGGCTAGGCTTGGCTCTGCTCGCTTTCTCATGGCAGCGCTCACTTTGTTGAGTCCTTTTACAACTGGTAAACATGTGCATTTCCTTTACCTGACGCTTTTACTCTTCATCGGAGCGAACTTCATGCAGACGATCATAATGCTTATTAATGCTGACGAGAGCTTTCTCTGCTGTCAGAGTTGAGCTCTGGAATAACTTGGAGATTTTTCAAACAGCTGTGTCAATTACAAGGAAGAACATTTCTGAACTGTGTTTTTGCTAGCAACCCTAGTGCTTTTGATTCGGCAACAGTTTTCATCTTTTAAGTGGACGCTAGACTTCCTGAAGCTCAATGCGAATTAAAAAGTAACAATTGCTATTGGTTCTCTGGTAATCCGCCAAGATCCAGCAATGAAAAGAATAAAGTATGACTCAATTCTAGACTAAATTGTCAAATAAACATCCTTGATATAAAAATCTGTTTTTGCGCTTCAAATATGTCATAGTTTGGTTGCGTAGATACCAGCCATAAGACACTTCAAAGGATTTAAGAAGAACATAACAAGCCCCCGAAATTTCACATTTATCTGTTCAAATATGTCACAGCTTATTCTAGATTAATTTCCTCTATTTGCATAATTGCTGATGAATCCATAATAAATGATTATTTTTGTTCATAACAGCAATATTGTGTTATTCTGTTTGCATAAATACAGTGAAACTTTCACAAGGTCATAGTGCTGCCCCCGCTGCCCCACTGCCCCCGCTGCCCCCACTGCCCCCGTGCTTCCGGCGCCCCTGAATGTGACACTTATTGTATTGAGGACGAGGTACATTTCCTAATCGAGTTAAGAAATTTTACGGCAACAAAACCAGAGTCGTGATATCATGCAACTAATTAACGATCAATCTAGATGCAGAAATATAACTTTTCGACTGATAAATGCAAATGAAGACCCAAACAACTTTTTCTCTATTGCAAACGATCTAAAAAGGCATAAAATTATCTACAGAACACTCTCTATCTTGTGTCCCTTTCGATCTTGCCATTGAAAGTATTTCTGTCGTGATGTTTATTTCTGATTTGTTTGTTTTCAGTTTATTTGATCAACAGCATTTTTGATGCAGCAGCAATTAAAAATCACTGGAGTACGGTTAAGCAGCTAGGTTTTTTGGTATATAAATGTTTCGGCTAGGCAAGTCACTATTACTCTTGGTGCCAGAGCCTTGGTAGAGTTGGTCGGTGAAAGCTGTTCGACCATCTCTTTCACTGAGGCTCTGGTACCCAGGGTACAATGCCTGCCAAAAGTACTTGGAACGCCCAGCAATTTAGGCTGCATTTGATATCTTTCAACCCTTTCATGAAAAAAAATTACTTCTTCTTCCTTCCCCCTAAAACAATGTTGATGATTAAGAGAAATATCATAAAAGAAGCACAAAAGAAAGTGCTTCCTAAAATCCTAACCCGTTTGATGGTAAACCAACATTGTTCCGTGGGGGAGAGGGGGATGATTGGTTTTGACCTTGGAAATTGACGTCAGTGTTCCAAGACTTTTGGGAGGCATTGTAGGTCGCTAGAGGATTATATGAGATTCAGAGGCGTAAAGGAGGCCTCTATTTATGGGATGCAAGAAAGTCCCATCCGACGCTCTATAACACAATAGCAAGATATAATCATGACAATTCTTTCTTGTTTTCTACAGAAAGCTTAGTTATATTTTGGAAGCTTCAGTTTAAGAGGTTTTATCAAATGAGGTGAGCCTCAGCGAAATTTTAAAACGTTGATTCAATAATGATTTAAGTCCCTTTTTGGTTGGGGGGACCTTTTTACGGAACTATAGTGTACTAAAACGGATTATGACACTGATGAAATTCCATGTCTAACTTGATGATTGTATTTTTATTGCTGTCAGGTCATGGCTTCCACTGCGCATTATGTTGTCACAGATGTTATTCTTGTCATGGGGATTTTCATATTTTCTCTTTGCTGTGTTGTGCAGAATGCGTGTACGCATAGGTTCCAAAAGGCTTTTGTGAATTTGTGCTTTTGTTATCGCTTGAAAGGGTTTCAAATTTGCTAGATTTTATAGGCTTGGCTGCACCTTGTTCGCGCTTTAACTCTGATTTGATATTTAAATTTTCCTCTGTTAAAGTCCTTCTACTTTTGAATAATTTATTGGATAAAAACCATCGATGCAGCAAATCCATTCGTGAGGACGGCGATGCATGTTGGGAAACGTAGGAGTCGATAGGCTTGTGTGTGTGTCGAACTTACTTCAATAATCCCCCTCCCACTCCAAATAGAATCGTAAGGAAATATCTCAAGTAAAATCCGCTCATTCGAAAATACGTTTTTGGTTATTCAGAGACCATTACGTCTTACAATCAATAATAATCAAGCAAAATTTGTTGGTTTTTTATGAATTTCACCCAAAGGTAAGCAAAACTAAGCAGTAATGATTTCAAGTTGGCACTAAATCCAAAAGCAAAACCCTCTTTTGGTAAAACTATAGAAATATGTAAAACTGTACCTTTTGTCGAATTTCTCTACAGTTTTTCGGAAGAAGTCTTGTCAATCGCAAAAAAAATCATAAAAACATGTAGGAGATGCTTGATTAACGAATCATAGCCTTAAATGAAGGAGATTATCCAGATCAGAAGTGATAGGAGTAGGTGGTGAAATAAGCTATGTAATTGATTGTTATAATTGTCAATTTTAATAAAACATATCAACGATTACCCAACTAAATATCAAATGATGTCCTCGATTTGATATGCATATTTTTTTGATTACGTGACACATTTTTACTGTTAACGTGAGATCATTTTGTAAACAATGGACTGAAACAACGAAAGCGCGGCAAAAGAATATTTCTAAAATGTTTTAAAAAATGCAGCCTTTTAGGGGGTAAAGTAAGTTTCACTAGGATTTATAAAGTTAGAGGAGATGAGAGATGAGTTAAAGGCTTGGTTTTTTAAAAATATGATCTATTGGGGTTCCTGGAAGTTTTTTTGTTGAAGAAACGATTTCAATTCAGTACCGAAGTTCAACTTGAAATTTTTTCTTGATTAGGGGGCTTAAAGTTTCAATGCATCCCGCTATACTTCAGGGCCCTACATGCGCTGCTAAAAAGGGAACTTTTGATACTACCCACAATTTGATCAATAGATCCTGGGTCCTAAAAAGGTCCCAAAAAAAGGACTGCCTTGAGCTTGGTTTGTTATAAAAAGAAAATGCGTTACAATGTAATATCGCAACGTTGTCATTTTGCGGTATCAAAGTTGACATCGTTAAGCAATGCAATTTTTCTATCGTTGTATTGTAACTATTTTTTACTGAAATATTTCCTAGATTATAAATCCCTATTCAGAATAGAGCTACGGAATAGAACTATTTTGATAAAATATTATGCTCGAACTTTGAACCGCATGGATCAAATGATAGAACCCGTCTAGGTGTGTCAAAGACCACTAAATGAGAGTTGCTCCATTTCATCATCACCATTGAATGATTTTTCGCAAACGATTATAATTTCCCCCTTGAAAGCTTCAAGACAAAGTTTCTATTTTCTACAACTTATTTTTGAAGACTAAAATGAATCAATATTTTCAGACACTAAAGATCACTTACCCGACGCAAAGACTGCACCCACTGACAGCAGAAACAACACCCTTAAAAGCACTGTAATAAAACTGGCTCTCCAGCAAAATGAACTTATCATAATGTTGGTTTCCAAACGAAAATCAACCCGGTACCATTTTCATCGTCTTGTCAACATAATCCACATCACCGTATACTCCAGTGTCAAAAATGCCAATGCTGCAGAAATCTGTGGTTGTAAACAAAAGGGCTCCAAAAAACGTACCACGGGCATTTCGTCAGTCAAGCGGACAAAGTTAACAAAAGAATCTGAAACAGGAGAGTTTTTCTGTTGGAGAACACACTGATTGCCGATAGGTTTATTGTATAGACAGACCATTGGGAATCTAAATAGCCATGGATATGCGTCGGGAGATGCACAACTTTTCTAAAGAATGAAGTCTATAAGAATATTGAGATTCAAAATCGATGAAATTCAAAAACAATTTAAGAACCGTGCTAGACTCAATATATGCCTTGAAATACTCTAACCTATCCTGTGAAAAATTAGCTCAGTGACTAGTGCTACTCAGTGACTAGATTTTTTATTTTAAAACCACATCAATTGTTCTATTCTGTTCTCGTTTAAGTATATAATGAAGCCTCACATCGAAAAAGATTTGAATTTTTTCTTTGATCTTAAAGCGAAATTACAACTTCTGTCGGGCAAATAATCTCAATTTACTAATAATCTTAATTTAATAGTGACTCGGGGGGTAAACTAAGCCTAATTTTTTACGGGGACGTGTCATTTTGGTTAAAAATTTGGACCCATAATTCCGCAAAGCAAATGAAATTATTAAAGCACATAAAAATCATGCAACAAATTTGCATCTCCTTTGCCCCAAAATCTCAATATTACACATATTTCATAGCTTTTTTTCTAACTGGCCATTCATTTTTTTTTAATGCCGAATATCCCTCTTAATAATTCTGCATTATTTTTCAAATGATAGCCATAGTTTCGCACATATTTCAAAAATTGATACCGATAATTCCTTACATTTTAGAAAAAAGTACCCCTAAATACTGGCACGCCCCCGTACCTCCAAACATGTTAAGCTCCCCCCCCCCAACGAGAATAATGATCTTAGACTCACATTATATTTATAATCTAAACGGGTATACGAAACCTATAAACATTATTAAAAGACCTTTTTGTGAATATAACAAACATCAAAAAATGAACAGTGAAAGTGAGGTCGAACAGAAACAAAACGAATGCTAAAAGTGTGATGAATCTCCGTTAGGTTAGCTATCTATTCTCCTGTTATTCTATTCTAGCTATCTGTCTACTTATTCTATATCTATTGCTTCTTTCGGATATTTTGCAATAAATTATATTTTCGTCTGCATTTGCATTTATCAGTTAAAAAGTTTCATTTTTGTCCTCTGGATTGCTGAGAAGTTGCATTATATCACGACTCACGTGTTGTTGCCTTACAATTTGGTGCCTCGCCTTTAATACAATAAGCGTTAAATTTATGAAATTTTATACATGAAGCGTTTCATTACTTTCTTCCAAAGCTATGCTTTTATGCTGAACTACTTTTATCATTGCATCTAAATTTAGCAATCCACTGTCTTAGTAGGGAGTTCATTACACGAAGATCGCTTTTTCGAATTGATTTTCAAATAATTTATAGTACCTAAGCTTTCTATCATTAATGCTAGTTGTCCTACCGCTGCTTATACACTCTTCAAATGAAGTTGCAAATCGAGCTTGTCCTTTTATTTCATATGACATTTTACCTGGAATGGGTTTTGCTTGGAAGGATTATTAAATAGGAACCCACGGAAGGATTATTAAATAGGAATCCCTTGTTCTAACGGTGTCTCTAGACCTACAAGGACTAGGCATATATATAACATTTTCATACCTTAAGTGTTAAGGCTCTCGATTAAATGATTTCACAGTGGAACTAAAATTCGCAAAAAGCTTGACTTTATTGCATGCGACAGCATGCCTCCGAATCTTGACAAAGTTTGAGATTTTAGTGCAACGTCAGCAAAATTTCCATTGTCTTTTGGGAACAGGATCCCTATGGCATTTTGATTTATAATTTTTTCCTGTGTCATACACTTCGTTGCGAAATGTGAGTGAATCTGAGTGACTCATATACCTGAGCGACTCCTTAGGTATGACATTTTAAAGCAATGAATCGTACATCACTGATTAGGGAGGCAGTGAAGCCTATCGATTTCCGCATTGCACGGCAAGAAGTGACTCAGTGTATGGCGTTCGATTGCATCTCGCTGGTTATTTCGTGCGTTTTTTGTGTGTAAGGATTGACAGACTGACAAGAAAAGGAAGTCTTTTAATAGGGTTGGAAGTAAACGGAGACCGTCAGTATTTCTACGGATATATATGTATGGTGATGGATCAATTTTACTTCACCGGTTTGTTTACAATTAGGCCTATTATAGGTTTGCGGCTTCACGGCTTGGACCCTATTTTTACGTGCGGCCTCCCGATTTAAACATGGTTTATCTACGGACTGCGGTTTCAACAAAAGTTGCGTCTTGCGTCTTTTGATATAAATTCGCAACGGTTTACGGCTTTTATAATACGGTTGCGGCTTTGAAATGAAATAACGGTCCGCGGCAAAGCTTTTCACTTTACACCAAAGGTTTTGAAAAGAACTCCATGTCGAATAGGAGTAACTTAAGAATGGACAAGCTACTGCCAGTCATTGCTGTCAGTTAGAACAAGAGTGGGAGAGGAAATTTAAACAATAGTGCCCATACCAAAGAGGTAGGATAATACAGTGATATAGTGTAACTGGCACCTCTATGGCCGTGTAAGCAGGGCCGGCCAACAAACAAATAGGATCCCCAAGAAATATCCGGGAGTTTTATATGGTGTCATAGGGTTCTTTTCACTTGTCAAATGTTTTCGAAGAACTTTGTCTCCGCAAGTCGGACAAAATATCTACGTACAGTTTTCAGACTGATTCATGAGATGGTCAGTCCCAATTAATACATAATAACAGCGGTTGACGTAATATTCATGGCTAGGGAATTTTCAGAAGATAATTTACAAAACTGTATAAAGATGTGGAACAATTAATATAGATAAAAACATTTGTATGATGCTATCTGGTATTTTCGTCTATTTTGTTGAGATAATATAAGCCAAAACTATTTGCGGTAGATTCTATGCTATTGGCATTTTTACTAATCATGAAGTATGAAACCTCTTCTTATTTTAAGTGCCTCCTTTGAGAAAATGCCCCGAAAAAGTTTGAAAAATTTAAAAGAGCAACCCAGGTGTAATATGGTATTTTAACAGCTCTACATATCAAAAGACACTTGAGTCAATACTGTTATCAAATAGCTAATTCTAACACAACATTAAAAGATTTATTCAGTTATTTTGTTATTTCATATTGGGAACCAAAGTTATTTCATATTTCAAAGCCAAAACATCTAAATAGTCATATTTTCTCCCCGAAAACTTTAATTATTTCATATTTCAATTACCCCTTATAGGGCCTCTTTTGCTATCGCGGCCGCGTCTTCGCGCTTAATTTCAGTGCGGATTGCGGCATTTGGTTGATTTTTGCACGGTTCTGCGGCTTTTCGTCCCCCTATAATAGGCCCCCTCCATACCATTTTAGGTTCTTCAATATTGTTGCTTTTCTGTAAATCGGACTGCAAAAAGGACTGTAGATCCTCCAAAAACAACGACCGGTACCATCACTCTTAATGCAAAGAATTATGCATTACCTTCCCATTCACGTTCGTAGGTGTTTCATATTTTACACTTTAAAATCTTAAAACTTAATTTTCGCCTGAATTCTTTGCTTAATTTCGCACGTTTCATAAAATTGTTTCTACAGCACCTCTCCGTTTTTGCCGTACAAATGTAATTTCTCCCGGCTTCACTTCCTGTGGTCAAAGCTGCCTCGAGTTGACTGACGCGATTGTGATGGTCTAGCCCAGGTAAAATTGTGAATAGATGCAGAAATTTTAGTTTATGAAGTAGCAACTATCTCTTGAGGTGAATAATTGAAAATAGCTAGGCCCATTTGTCATGGTTTTATTGCCATTTCTTTATTTGATATCTAGGTATTTGCTGTACACTTTGGAAAGCTTCCTGAACCTAGTCTTCTGCTTGTGCATGTGGCGAGAAAATTAATTCATATGGCGAACCTAGCCTTCTGTATAAAGTATGAGAATTTTGAAAGCTTCTGTTCTATTACAGGCAAAAATTCCTAAAATCCTCAAAATATACTCTGTCTCTACACCTGGAGTTTGGGAGCTTTGATAGAAACCTATTCGTAATGATGGCAAAAACGGGAGCTCGTTTGATATTGCTAATACTTTTTCACTATAAGTTGTCTTACTAAGCTGTTTTATTCTGTTATTGTTAATATCCTGGTGATAGTCAAGTACTTCTTGTGTTTGTCTTTGTCCATTTCTGTGTATCGCCATCGTACAACTTAACTTTGGCATTTTTCCTTTCCTCAAGCGCATGCATTTCATAACGTATCGTTACTTCTAGTTTATTACTGAAGCAATAATACAATAGAACTTCGAAAAACAATTTAAGATTTTCTGGCAATGATTCCCTTTAAAACTCGTTGATAATCAAATAATGGTAAGTAATCTACGGTTAAAAAACGCTGATGACAAAAGGCTTCTTTATCTCACAGGTATATACATATACAGTGTTTTGTTTTGTTTGAATAATCGTCTTAATTTACTATGCTCCTTTAATCCATCACCATTGGTTAAGATAAAACAAGTGTCAATTTAATGTCAACTACAGGAATTCCAGAGAAACAAAGGTAATTGATCCCATTTTTAGCAAAAAAGGGATTACTGAACTATGACTTCAACGGAGCGGAATGCAAAAGAAATTAAATAAAAATATTGGAACTAAATTATATACATATTCAAATTGAAAGCAGGACTTATTATCCGTCCATCCTCAAAAAACAGAAGATTAAAGCCAAAGTCAAACATTTCTTTTCTCTTGTGCCGAATTAAATACCACTGGGTGCGTCAGTATCTGAGCCTGCGTGCAAACTTTACTTTCCGTTGCGAAGGAGAGCCAAGAAGATTGCCAAACGAAATTTTAGAAAAGAAATTTAAACATTATTCAGTACAGTAACAATTTAGTTCAGTACAGTAGATAAAGTTAGCTTAGATAAAAAATTGTGTTGTTCGCCTAATTTCTTTTAATTTGGAGGCTTAAATACAATTGTATAGTTTAGAGATATGCTAAAATTTGTAAATGAAACAATATATCACATGAAACCGAATAAGAGCTTTTGGGCCATCTTTTCCACAAATTGTCTTATGATGAATTTATTGGAGTATTTTAAAACGATCGTGATTAACTAACAACCTCAGTAGGACTGATAGATGAATAAAGCAAATGGGCCAATGAATATGCAATGTCAATTTTGATATAAACAAAGTTACAATAAAGAAATGTTTGACTAGCAAGATCAGCAACATGCTTGTCTTGTCTCTGGTCGTTTTATTTAAACAGCTATAAGTAGTAGCAGGTACTTTCAACTAAAAGTGAAGTCAGTAGAGCTTTAAGTTTGACTTTAATTTTGTGTCAAAACAGTGTTATTGCATGTGATATTCAACAACAAAATTGAAGAGTAGCTTAAAACAAGTTTTGGCATCCCCTATCTATTAACTACAACCTTATTGACCTTATCATAATATGTTAACAATGCTCTTAAAGGGCTTAAAAGTTTCTGAATATGCTGCTAAATATCTGGAAAGTTTAAGCTCTCAATTCTGTTGATTTGGAAAATAACACTGCTATCGCCTCCACCATCTGCAGTGAACATCACCAAGATTGGCATTCATTGTAGTAAAATAAGTATTAGAATTTGCGGAGAACCGTCGTCTTTTTTGTTAGCTGTTTAGATTAACTGATGAAATCCGAGCAGCAAACCACACTATGTAGAAATCAGTTAATCCTGAGAAATCATTTTTTGTGGAAATCTAGTATTTTCCTTACAAAAGTGAATTGCTTCTCGATAATACGATAAGTATTTTAGTCTTAATAATTGATGTCACTAAAAGGTTCTTTGCACTTCTCCTTTCTACCTACAGCTCAAGTTTGAGAATTCCATGACATAACAATGATTTTCCGAAAATCTGTTAAGTTTTGAAAGCAGAGGGCCCTTCAGTTGTCAACCATTGACTGGAACATGACGCTTGCCCCAACTAGTGGCGACCCTGATCTCAAGGCCTCGATCTTTAATGGCGTTATCACGTCTCTTCTGGAGGCGCATGCACCTCTATAGTGTAGCTAACCATCACGCTCCTTGGATTACTGCTAAAATAAAAAACCTGATAAAGGAACGTGATTTAGCTAAAAAGAGATCCGAGAATGATACTTCCTATTGGTCAGACTACACGAAATTGCGGAATGAATGTTAATAGGGTACAGGAATGTTACCATAACCTTATTGATGAAACCAAAAACAATCCAAAAGCTATGTGGAAACCAATAAATAAGGTTTTAAATAAGAACTCAAATGACACTGTGACTCAAAGCATTATTTTTGAAGGCACAGAACTAAAATCATTTTCACAAATTTCAGAAGCTTTCAACAAACATTTTACAACGGTTGGACCTATGGTAGCAGGGAAAATACAAAGTCAGCCTTCCCAACACCTTGGAAATAGAGCCGGAGGAACCAAGTGTAAGCTACAGACTAAGTGTAGGATATGTAGAACGTGCTATAAGAGCTCTTAATAACTCTAAGGCTCCTGGTGCCGACAGAATCCCCGTCAAAATACTGAAGGATGCTATAATCATAATGTCAAAGCCACTGACACTGATATACAATGCATCTTTAGAAAGGGGCATTTCTACCAAATCTGGCAATTAGCCAGAATAACGCCTATTCATAAGGCGGGCACAAAAACAGATGTAAACAATTACTGGCCTATCTCAGTGTTATCAGTTGTGTCTATAATTCTAGAAAAGATTGTACACGACCAACTAATGGAGTTGCTAAAGAGACAGAACAGGCTTTGCTTGAACCAGTTTGCGTTCCAAAAACTGCACTGTATAATGACATGTCTATTAAATGTTATAGACCCCTGGTTCAAGAACTCTGATGAGAGGAAAACAAATTTAAAGACTCACTGCTAACAATGAGCCATTGCGCTACGTAAGCATCCCATAATGCATTTTTAGACTGTCTAAAATCAATTATTGCCATTGTTTGGACCGTCGCCACGCTCGCAAAGGCCCATTGTTAGCAATGAGTCTTTAAGTATATTTCTTGATCTCAAAAAGGCATTCGATACCGTTGACCTTAAAATCCTATTGTCGAAGTTACGAGAGTATGGTGCTGACGGCACTTCCCACAGCTGGTTCACTTCTTATCTGACCAATAGGAAGCAGTTCTGTTATTTTGACGGATTCACCTCCAGCAAAAGCAGCATTGAGTGCGGTATTCCGCAGGGCTCGTGTTTGGGACCCTTACTCTTCATACTATACATTAATGATTTTGAGAATTTTCTAAAACGCACGGTTCCAAATATGTATGCTGATGATACATGTGTGAATATCGCGTCAGAAAACCTGAATGAACACCTAACAGATTTGTAAAACGAGCTGGAAAATATATCAAATTGGATGAGGATTAACAAACTTAGTTTGAACACCAGCAAAGTGAATATATGGTTATAGGCCAAAGGCGACAACTAAACAAAGTAGGTAATGATTTCCCAGACCTTATTTTCGATAATGAAGTTATCGAAAGGGTTGACAAAACAAAATACTTGGGGATCAACATCGACGAAAGCCTTCATTGGAGAGAGCAGTACAAAACTATCGAAAACAAGCTGAAAGGTGGCTTGAACTCCATAAGAAAGTTGAACAACATCCTTTCGCAAAGGAAACTTGATCAAGTTTACAAAGCTCTCTTTGAAAGCCATCTTCGCTATGACAACATTGTTTGGAGTGCTATCACCAACACCAAACTATCCCAACTGCAACGTTCACAGACAAGGGCAAAAAGGCTAATAGCGAATGCCAAGTATAAGGACGGATGTACTGGCAAATGACTCACTGTAAAGTCCTTGATCTTCTTTGACCAAGGAGTCATGACATGATCTTGCATGAGTCATGATAGAATCTTGCATGGCCTCTGTCCCGAAAATCTCACCCGATTCTGATAGGGTGGTACACTAAGTAGCGTAAAACTCTGTATTAGAGTGGTACGCTCACTATCGCAGTGTGTTAGCAACACCTAACATGTGTTGGCGAGTGTCACGGTAAATATGGGTTCACCCATTTCACACAAGGCAGAAGTCTTCAGTGACTATAGAAAGGCCATGAAACATGAAACTGGCCTATTTGCAGCATCATGCCCTTTCCATGGAAGAAAATAAAAATTGTTGATGAAGACGAATCTGGCAAAAGTAGAGCCAAATGGGTACGTCCAAAAGAAGCAGATCCTCAATGCTATCATGAGTCAAGCTCGCAAAGAGAACTCGCGGAAGGTCAGCATCAAGCTGAGGAAAGGGTGAGTATTGACCCAGAAACGCTACATGAAAGCGATGGCCTCGGCAACTTTTTGGATAAAGCAAGTGAAAGTAAGCCCTCCAGCAACAAATATAGGGACATGAAAGGCAAGGATATTGCAAACTGGAAGCTCATTCGTGACTCTATTCAAAGAGTTGCAGTAGAAAATGAAGCGCCTCCGCCTAATTTGGAAAACTGTCTTCGTTGCAGTTTGAATTTTCAACTAAGTAGGCGAGAAGATAGCCATGAATCTTCCCATTTGTTTCGCTGCAAGGATTGTGGGCCTTATTATTTTGTTTGCAGACAGTGTCTGATAGATGACCATTTTCTTCGTCCAGCTCATTGGCCCCAAAGATGGGATGTATGTACAAATTTTTGCCTACCTTATTTTTTTTTAAAAAAGTTTTTTGTGAAAATGATCTTAATGAATTGTTAGGATTTGGGGCACCGGGTGCTTAATCCAATTTTTTCAATAGACCTTCAAAATGTCTATTTTCAATTCTTTAAGCTGCTTTTGGCAAAGTATGAGGGTGGCTCTAGCCCCCACCCCCCTTTTCCTCGGTGCTTGTGTGAGAGCACCTTCCTTTGCACTTTTCATATCTATACATTCTTTGTTATTTCTTGTTTAAATGTAAATTGATGATCACAAAAATTCAAATTTGATATAGTTCATACAAGACAACCCTCGGGTGGAGTGGGCAACCCTCGAACTAGAAGTTTATTAGCAATCAACTGTTATTAAATTCTAAAAATGAAAATTGAAGTTGTGGTAAGAAAAATGTAATAAGATTGTCCTGGTGGTTGATTCTTTGCGTTTTTATCAATAAGTAAAGAGTAAATAGAAATGAATTCTCCAAATCTGGGTTTTCGTACAGAATATTAAAATTATCATTATTAAAGTTTACGCATTAGCACCTTTCTTCCTGTCAATGATACATTTTGCCTCAAAGTTTTCTCTTTTTGAAATGTTTTTTTTGCCTTCGAATCATGTGTTCTCTACTGCTAAATATATTTGGGAGGGGGTGGGTCGTAAATTCATCTGAAGAGACTTTACACATGAACTTCAGGCCTTTGTTATTGAGGTGGATTGATTTTGTGCTCCTGTCACATGAAGAATACCAGGGGAGGTTATCGAAACTTAGGCCGGACAAATTTGAAAAAAACTACCCCATTTTGAATGTTGAAAAAGGTGAAATAATTGAAAACTATTTGAAACACTTGGAAATTAAACTTGATGTAGCTGCATCATCAGTTATTCAATGAAATCAAGGTGGTGAGGGTATTGGCCATATTATGAAAGAAATGGGGATAAGAGAATATTTTGGTGTTTACACAGCAAGAGGTTATCATGCTAAAATGAAGCAAAAATGAGAAGTGCTACAAACCATGGTGCATATCAAATCTTTCAAAGCAATCTTAACCAAATTAAAATCTGGAGTTCAGCCAGAAAATAACTTGTCAGGTGGCATAGAAAATATGCCTGATATGTTACAAAAAAGGCATTACAACATCAAAAGAACTAGAATGCATAAAATAGTTGTAGCATGAAACTGATGTCTGACCGGAAACTCTTTTGTTGCAACCTCAAAATTAGCATGTACATGTTAACTAAACAGTTCAAACTGCCTCAATATTAAGGTTGGGGAACTTGATGCCTGTTTTTGAAACCGATCTGACTGGTATAATCCAGGTTTGAAAACATGCAAAATTTTGCTGCATATCACTGCCACTAAGCAACAATGCCCATTATATGCAACTCTGGTATAATATACATGACATTATTAATATTTTGGTCACAAGAGGTCAGAGGCATGAGCTCAAGAAGTATAGCTTAGTTGCCAGCATAGGCAGATTTTCCAACCTGGGGTACAATTGACCTGCTAAATAATATTAAGATAGACCCTGTTCTCTAGAACAAGAAACATTTCAATTGTCATTTTGAAAACTTAAATATAAAAGGCTTATTCCCTTATCAAATTAGGTAGAATAATTAAATTTTTTAATGTGCAGATTTAGATTTAAATGTTAGTCTAAATCAGGGAGTGTTTGGCAGAGGGTGAATATTGGTTGCCTATATCACAGAGTCACGTCGCCCCTTATGGAACGATTCGATTTTTTCATCAATTCTGACTGTGCAATGATAAAAAAAATATGAAGGAGTTTAGGTTTGTTTATCTTCAAAAACCGCACGAAATTATTTTGCTGACGCCATTACTTGAACTCTTTGCTAATTATCATTGTTTCATTTTGTTCTTAAAAGCTAGGAGAATATTTTAAAAGTAAGCGGAATGTAAACGAAAAAGTTGTCATTGGATCTTCGACCCTTCTTTTTTTCCTGCTCATCAACTTTTTTGGTCATTCCCTCGGACGGTTTTTTAGCTAAAACAAAACCAACCCCCACAACGTGTTTCTTCATCTCCCTAAAACGAATATTCGTTGAAACCCAAACAATAGCTTGCACAATTTTCATTCACCGTGATTTTTTATCAGAAGCACTTTCATTGGCCTAGTGGCTTCTTCGATGGAACGGCGGGGTTCCTATTGTGATTCTCAACAATTCATCAGTGGCTGAACGTGAGACACGTGATAAAGTCTCATTCAAGTAAGAAAACCAAACTGGGGGATAAATATTTTTTTTTTACTCTGAATTTGAAAAAAATGGCTCAACGAAAGTCTGATTTGATACTGACGAATGATAAAGGTAGAAGGAAAGAAGGCAGATAATAATTCCCGGTTTTTCTCCATTGTGCGCTTTTCTGTATGCCTAAATTTGAGTTTTTCACAAAGAAAAGTGACCTGTTGTAACGTTGCTCGTGCAGAAAGAGAGAAAAGCCGAATAGACTGTCTTTACACAAGCATGTAGATTATACAGCAAAGAATGTGCTTGTAGTACTTTTATTTTATTAGGAAGTACCAAAAAGCTGAGGAAACAATTTTTACTGAAATCGTTCCATAAGGAGCGACGTGACTCTACCTATTGGCAATATTGCCTTTACGTCAATAGGGCCTTAGTTTCTCATACCTGCATTAGTCAGAATGAGTCAGGGTATGATGCATGATCTTCTATGCCTATCAGCATATATGTGTATTTGGGTTTAGCATCCTTTTGCCATATAAGGGTATTTTCACTAAAAGGGTATATCTAACGGTATCTTCTAAAACACTCACTTGCAACCTACATGTGACTTGAGAGTTTGTAATTCCCCCCCTCCACTCCACTACCACATGTGACTAAGCTACCCCTTCCTGCCCATTATTACAATATTGTACTAATTATTAAGTAATTTTTGAATGCTGATTATTGTAGCTTATTGTTGTTTGTAGCTTAAAGTATTGTAATTGTTTTGTATGGAACAAGAATTCACTGTATTCCCAACACTGTCTTGTTTCTAACACATATCTAATTTAGACAAAAATTTTTGAAAAAAATATTCTGGATAAGCAGAGATAACATGTTTTCCTTTTTATCTGTATTGCTAGTATGTTCCAGTATGGTAGTTGCGATTGTTGTCAGATTTTATCATCAACATAAATCTATTCTTTCTTGTTATATACATTCTACTGTCATGAATTATAGGGCGTATTCTCCAAGGCTATTTCTGACTAATACTTCAGAAAAGTTTAGAGATTGTAGAAGCATAGTTAAGCTTTTGAGTAAATGTAATGTTTTTAAGTATATTTCCATTTGAAAGACTTTTATTGTCCTTAATCAGTTGGGAAATTTGAAGATGGTCAATCAGCTTTACTTGGCATTGACATAAAAACTTTTTTATCTTTTTTTATGTAAGCTGCATCATTCAACTCAGTATTGTTTAAGATTTCTTATTGCTTATTTTGTGACACAATATTTAACCAAGTTTATATTTCCTTCATTTAATTTTCTGTTTTAAAGATATTCAGTTATGGCTCTTAGTTAAGCATGCTTCACATAGTCCATTGGAACATTTTAATTATCAAGTGTTTACTCTTCACAGATATTTTATTCAAAAATATAATCTGTAAAAACTAATGTTTACTTTTACCAAATTATTTACCAACATCTTTTCTTCAATATAATAAACAAACAGCTGTCTACTTTATTGATTTATGGAGAAAGATATGTGAATATTCAGCTCCACAACTATGAAAACCCTTTAAAAGTACCAGCAGCTGTGCATTCATGCCAGACCCAATACAAACGATGTATCAAAATTGTTGACATTCAAGGTTGGATTTTAAAATGGTTGTCTTCATTGAAGTCTTTCACTGCCAGAATTTGCATTGAAATATGCCAAAAATGATTTTATGGCTGAATAACCTTCTCTGCCATGCATTTATATTTGGCGAGAATTTAAATCAACGAAAGAAAATTTTATATTATGTCTACTAAATATATATTTTGATAAAGAAATCTTCTTAACAAATATCCACTGAATGCTTATATCCTAGACTTTCCTAAAGTACAAAAAATTTCATAATTAACTTATTCTACTTTGTCTGCTAATGTAACATGTCGCTGTCACCCAAATACTGTTCAGTTTCAAATATACCTATTACCACCTGTTGTAAAATTACAGCACTTAACTTCTTAAAAGAATTAGCCTTCAACTATTGCATTCTATTGTGAAAAATTAAGGGAAAATTGAAAACTTTATAATCCTTATCTACTACTTGATAATGCATGATTTCAGGTTTCAGTAGATTTGTCTACAATATTTATGGCATGTGGTATTCTACTGCCTGCCATGTTTACATGGTCTGATCCATCTTTTATCTAGAAAAAGCAACTTTTTTCTAAACAACAAGATAGAGGGTTGACCACACCCTTTAGACCACACCCATTTCTTGGTCACACCCTGTTTTCTAAAACGATTATTGCTTTCTATAATTTCTTATGTAGACCATTTTCAAGAGACAAGCGGTGCTTTACTGAAATTTCATGTATCCTTACAACAAGCCTGAGAAGAAATAAATAATCTTGTTATAAGAAGTTAAAACTCTAGAAAAAAACAACTTTTTATCATCATCCTTTGCTTTTAGGGAGAGCTTTTGAAAACAACGAAAGCATTGATGCTGGAATGTCACGTTTCCCTTTTTGGCAAACTCAATGAGATGGAGGAATGGCTTATCAAAGACGCAGGTTGATTCATCTCATTCTAGGAATCTACTTTTCAGCTTTAAACCATTCTTTTTTTCTATGTATCTTGACTACGTCTTTATTGAAAATAGAACTATTACATATCTTTCTGGTTCTGGTGGATGCCTTGACGCAGTGAGGGCTAATATTACTTGCGCATCAAGGGAGAGTTTGTTTGGAAATAGCATTAAATTGGAAAAACATTGGTTTGAAAGAGCTGCATTAATTAATCAAGTCTTTTATTGCTAAAAAGCTATACATTCTCTGTCGTAAATTCTTTTAAAAAAATATTTTTCTTGTAATGCGTTTCAATAAATTTTTTCAGGCTACCTCGATTTACCGCCTGTTGGTTAATGAGAGCTTTGAAGAATACAGACATTTTCATTATAGATATGAAACATTTAGATTTATTTGCCCTGAGGTAGATGATGGTGCCACATGCATGGTTTGCCCAAAGGTAGTGATTTCATTCTTCTAAATTTTATTTCCTGCGTAAACTATCAGCAGCTTTTTTAAAAGAACTAGATCAATAAATTACGTGTCGATTTTTTTTATAAAATTAAATATGGTAATTACAAAATTGCGGCCTCTCAGCTTTACTTTTGTCTAGTTTACAGGTGATAACTTTTGCCAATGGCATGCTAGAAAGTTCATTTAAAATGTGTATTTTTGCATATAGATCTAGCAGTTTGTTATGACCCAAAGGATGAAATGCTATTCGGACATCTTTCCAGCGTTTTAACAAAAGCTGTAATTGTTAAACGAATCTAAAGTTATAATCTGTTCGATTTTCTCTTGCCAAAGGACAGCCCGAAACCATCTTAGCAATAATTTTTATAATTCTTTTATAAGCTTTTAGCAACAAAAATTTAATCTTCAGACTTTTTCAGAGATAAAAATTTGTTGACGTCTTTGTTAACATCATTTTCCATCTTTTTCATCATTTTTGGAAACATAAAATAAAAGGGAACAAGCCGTTTCTACACTGCTTGATTTTATTGGATTCTATTTACTAACTTATTTAGGTATATTTTTATTATTTGTCTATTATTTGCATCAATTCAGCAGATAACGTTATGTATCATTGCAATTTCTGAAATTTTGGATGTGTAAACATGGCCTGCTGAAAATACTCGAGACAAAAAAGATGCACATTTCTATTCAGGATTTAAAATTCTCGCAATAAATACAACAGCTTCTTGTTTTCAAGGTCACCCTTACTTTCTTTCCCCAATCACTAGAGTTTTAGCATGACTCCTCACCTCTCACATTTTACTAAAAACCAATAACTTTTTGAGAATCGTCGAACTGTCTGTTCTGAGCGTTATAAAAGTTTGTTAAATTTTAGTCTGTGAGATGCATTTTTAGCCATTCTAGAAGGCTTTGATTGAAAAATGTTCTTCTGCGTTGGACCCAACCATGGTTGGTACTCTTATGTCACTGAACATTATTCCTAGGCCCCCATGGTCTCATTTTTGTGGCGCCGTCTCTCTTAATGTGACCAAGTGCCCAGCCATTCAGCCCTATATTTGCTCCAAACATCTTTAGGGGGTAAATTTCGCATTCAGAAATAATTTTAGAATATTTTGTACCATAAATCTGGAAAATTTGGAATACGACCTCCCAGCCTTTGGAGTGGGTGGCTAGTTGCTTCTTTTACTCCATCCACGTTGAATTTCTTTTGGAATTCCGCAAATATTCTCTTTCACAGACTCTATTGAACCTCTCAAATAGAAAAAAAGTGAATAGACATCGAGTATTTTCAGACCCTGTGCAAATTCTGTGAATCTAGGGAAGTTGAGCTGTGTGCAATCTAGCCTGCACACAGACATTTAGTAAGCTTCTTTTAAAACCAGACATTTAGTAAATGAGATAAATTCTTTCATGAATAAATATTTGTTCGCTTGTAGAAAACAGGGCCCTATCTTCAAAATAACACCCAGTACTTCGTTTTATGACTACACAAGTTAGCTTAACCATCACCCTAAGTTATTTGTTAATTTTAGCAATTATTGTTTACAGGAAAATGGAAAAATTGTTTTGATGCTTGATGGAACATTTGGATGTGTCAGAAAGCAAAGTTCGGGTTTCAGTATGGAACCTCCAAAACACGGGGTACGATTTTTTGTAGATGACAGTAGTGTAGACCAGTTTGTAGATCAGCACTGCCAAAACACCAAAGATATTCGAATGGTAATTTCATGTGCATTAATTGTGTAGCCATCTGATGTCCTCAAGTGTAAAGCATTTGCTTCTATTATTTTGATAGTTAGTATAATAACAAACAAATTATTAGAAAGTAAGCTAGTTTTTAGTGGATTTTGTGATACTAGTGTTTAAATACATAATCTTTAATTTGTTTCATTATTATTCATTTTTATCATGCTTGTTAATCTAGGGAGCCTTGTTGCTGATATGGACCTTTAGAACAAAAGATAAGACGAAGATAAACATAAAAATATGTTTATCATGTTCTTCTCTGCTGACTTTTTCCTTTAGTTGCTTGTAAGTAGCATTAGGTGCTACTGTTTTTGAAGAAGACAGTGTAAAGCTTTTTGCAATTCTTTGCAGGATTGCAGTAACTTCAGGTCTGGAGCTGACAGTTTGAGATCTAAGCTGCAGTACAAAAAGCTTGATATCACTGGCGTGTTTGGTTGCTCGTGTAAACATGACATACCTGGTTGTTTTCTTAATATGAAGCACGGTGAAAGGTGTGCGGCGAATGTAAAAAAAAGCATATGCCTTAACGTTTCCTTTGTTACCACATTTGTTAAGGAAGTCTATGGTAGCATTAACATATTTCAAGACTATAGAACAATCCATAATTCATTCTAAAATTAAAAGTGATAAATTAGATATCCAAGGTTAATTGTTGGAACAAGTTTCTTATCTGCGTTTGGGAAAATGTTCCTAAAGATTCTAAGAGGCTTATATTGAATTTCTGTATTAGCATCACACTTATTAGCATCGAAGGTAAAATCATAGGTTATTTTGTTTTGTCAATTTATTGTAAGTTATTGTAACAGTAGTCTCTTTATACTAACACTGAAGTATTTTTTTCAAAAGGTTGGGATATCCTGTGTACATTTTGCAAGCCTTTCTAGAGAAGTTCGAGAATTCAAATGTCAGTTTTGGTATCGTATATGATATTTCATGCCTCTTAGCTATTGATTACTATGCTCAAAGCAAGAGTGAATCAATGATCAAGCCAAACAAATTTTTTCGAAGATTATCGATAAAAAACACCCGCCTTTCGAAGATGTAAACGCAAAGCCTTGCACCACTGTTCAACCGACTAGGGACTCTACTGAAGCCTCATATGATGATGAACTATTAGATATATTCTTAGAAGGTGTTGATGACGACCTTTCTGACATTGAATAAATCTAAATTTTGTTTTATTGAATGAAAGATAAAAGAATGACGGTAGTCATTAATTTTGCAATTATATAAATACATAGAGATCTAGTCAACTTCTAAGACCTCTTTGAAATAAAATCTTAAATGTCTTTATAGACCGAAATAGAGCCCTGCCATCAGCGTTCATGCCAAATTTAACTTCTGTCGTATTCCAAATGAAAACATTCATTTTTCAACGTAGTTATTTCATATATAATGTTGCCATACTATCGATATATTCTTCCTAGCACCTGGGATATGTTTACCCCAATACGTTTTCAAATGAAAATGCAATCACATTTTTACGGTTTTGCTTCTTATCAACACAACGAAGATAACTGTGTCGCAAAAAACGCAAGCATTTTAAACACCTCCCAGATTGTTCTATTTTTGGGAATTGCAATTATTCGAAAACACAACGTTGTCGTGGAAATACAAAACTTTTGTTTTCTTTTAGATGTGAATGCATTTTTTCAAAGTATATCGGTATAATCTTGGGCTTAGATGTCTCTCTTCTCTCTTGCAAACTTGATTTTAAATTACGTCTTCCTAATCAGATTTCCCTATGTACCAGAGAGCTAAATGAATTTAATCTCATGATAATTCAAAGGTATCTTTTAAATATTCAAGACATTAATATGCAAGGTTTACCGACTAACTTGTGAATTATTGAGGATGCTTACCTCACGCTATTTTATGACATCGCGTATAAATGTTTATCCATTAGCAACCTTGCCAGCATCCTCTATCTCAACCTGCAAAACCAAGGAAAATATGTACGCATGAATCTTAGACTCTCGACAGTCACTTAGCAATATTGTTTCAAGGGCAATTAATCTACCTCAAATCTAAAATGAGTCTAAATACCTATTAATTAGGGCTATTATTCTATGCATTTGTCTGAACCAATTATATACTGCTTTATAAAGACATGCAATAAAGGCGAAAGATCATCATTTTATGCGGATTTTGTCGTTTCCGAAATAACCCAGGGGTATATTCAACATTGTCCACTTCATGAAATGACCAAAATTGACAAATCCTCATAAAAAATAAAATTTCCAAAAAATCATCATTTTATGCGCATTTTGTCGTTTCCGAAATAACCCAGGGGTATATTCAACATTGTCCACTTCATGAAATGACCAAAATTGACAAATCCTCATAAAAAATAAAATTTCCAAAAAATCATCATTTTATGCGCATTTTGTCGTTTCCGAAATAACCCAGGGGTATATTCAACATTGTCCACTTCATGAAATGACCAAAATTGACAAATCCTCATAAAAAATAAAATTTGCAAAAAATCATAATTTTATGCGGATTTTGTCGTTTCCGAAATAACCCAGGGGTATATTCAACATTGTCCACTTCATGAAATGACCAAAATTGACAAATCCTCATAAAAAATAAAATTTCCAAAAAATCATAATTTTATGCGGATTTTGTCGTTTCCGAAATAACCCAGGGGTATATTCAACATTGTCCACTTCATGAAATGACCAAAATGGACAAATCCTCATAAAAAATAAAATTTGCAAAAAATCATAATTTTATGCGGATTTTGTCGTTTCCGAAATAACCCAGGGGTATATTCAACATTGTTCACTTCATGAAAAAACCAAAATGGATAAATCCTCATAAAAAATAAAATTTGCAAAAAATCATAATTTTATGCGGATTTTGTCGTTTCCGAAATAACCCAGGGGTATATTCAACATTGTTCACTTCATGAAAAAACCAAAATGGATAAATCCTCATAAAAAATAAAATTTCCAAAAAATCATCATTTTATGCGGATTTTGTCGTTTCCGAAATAACCCAGGGGTATATTCAACATTGACCACTTCATGAAATGACCAAAATGGACAAATCCTCATAAAAAATAAAATTTTCAAAATATCATCATTTTATGCAGATTTTGTCGTTTCCGAAATAACCCAGGGGTATATTCAACATTGTTCACTTCATGAAAAGACCAAAATGGATAAATCCTCATAAAAATAAAAGTTTCAAAATATCATCATTTTATGCAGATTTTGTCGTTTCCGAAATAACCCAGGGGTATATTCAACATTGTCCACTGCATGAAATGATCAAAATGGACAAATCCTCATAAAAAAAAAATTTTCAAAAAATCATCATTTTATGCGGATTTTGTCGTTTCCGAAATAACCAAGGGGTATATTGTAAAACCACTTAAAAAGGGGGTTTTACAAACGTGAGTTCGTAGGTCGTTCGCAGAAACGTACACGATAAATACGGCAAAAACTGTTATCCAATTCGCTATACACTTCTTCTAATTCATTAGTTTACGGCAAACGACTAAAAATATCTTAAATGGCTTACGGCTACAATTTAACGGCAAACACAATTCTGCAAGCTAGCGACAAGGTACACTGAGTTCGACAAAGCTTACGGCAAGACTGAACCTAACTATAAAGCCACTCCTTATATACCCTAAGCCTTTCCACAGCTGGTCCTTCTTTACAAGGTTCTCGTCACTTTGCCAATAAGTTCAACAAACTATGAAAGAGCTTTTTCAAAGCTGAAAATTGTAAAAAAATCGGCTACGGTCAACGATGGGACAAGACCGCCTTTCCTCTCTGATATCAATCAACGTCGAAAGTGATATTTTACAGTTGATAGACTATGGTGACATCATCGATTTGTATGCTGCCACACCTCTTTTGAGAAAGATGCTGCTTGAGTAACAGTTTATACAAATATCATTTAAAGGAAAACTATTCTTTTGGAAGCGTTATATCTATTTAAGGTTTAGCATAAATAAATGCAAAGTAATTATGATGCGATTAAAAACTTGCCAAAAAAACTTTTTTGCTATAAACAGCTATAAACACTAACTTGACAGTTTATTGTCTAGTATAGCGAGAAGACTTGTAGGGTGTAAATTTATAACTAGTTGCAGTTTTGTTCATAGCGATTTATATTTGGTAAGTTTTGCTAAAATAAATGCTATTGTTGAACTTGAAGGTGTATAACGAACGATCCATTCGTTAACGATTTCCAGATCCATTCGTGATATTGTAGTATCAAGTGTTGCAGTATATGCAGCAAGGGTAATCTTCAAGGAATGTATTGACAAAAAATTTGTCGGAAAAATCATAGTTTTATCGGAAAATTTTCAGCTTTGCCCCCCCAAAGTTAACTCCCACTGCGCCCCTGCCTAGGGCCTACGGGGGCAAAACTTGATGCAGTCTGTTCTGATGCTGCTGCTGATGCGTGCATCGTCGTGACTATTGTACGTGTATCAGTTGAATTCGTGGGCACATTTGATATTGAATCGATACGTTGCAAAGCATTCTGAAGGATGCTTCGAATTTCTTCCATCTCGTCTTCTTTCTACATTTGGCGGGAATTCACAATGATATGGAAGCAATGATATAGAAGCGCCAAAGGCGCTAGATGTCTAACTGGGCATAATTGCCCATTGAGCTGGTGAGGCAAAATCACGTAAGCGGTAAAAGGGCAAAAAGACGATTCCGCATAAGGGCTCAGCACAGGAATTGCAAGTCAGACGAAGAAAAACAAAGATTATTGAAAATTAGCATAATTTTGAAAGGTTAGTTATATACTTTGCTAGCTTGCCGTATTAATTTCAAAAATTTTAAAGGACAAGTGACACACTTCACACCCTATCTTTTCTTTTCATTAACTTAAAGATCATCTTTTCGAAGTAGGTTTTTCCTGGTTTAGAACAAAAATTTCTAATCAAGGGGCACAGGGGCGTAAATTTGCTTTTTATCACGTAACCCTATGACGTACATTGTGATAACTCGGAATTTTCCTGTAATTAATAGAGAGTTTACGAAACACGACGCGACAGGTCCAGACGAACTGAATTCGTTTAGAAGCATTTAGACGAACAAAATTTGTTGTACTACAATATGCCATTGATTTATCTAAAAAGTTATCAGCAACATCATATCAGTAAATTCCTGCCTTTTGTGCTTCCTATGACTGATTAAGAATGCAACCCTATTTTCAAGATTCTATGTCCCAGAATTCTAGCTTTTTTCGAGTTTTTCGAACTCACATGTAATACGTTTTATCAACAGGTTGAGCCCCCTGGATCAAGTTTAAGGAGAGTTAAAAACCTGTTTCTTTCATAAGACTGACGAGATAAACCTAATCAATGTTGCAAACTAAATTTGCTATGACAGTGAAGAATGTTCCCGCACCTTCAGCCGATTGTGTGAAGATGGCTTAACCATAAAATTGTTTAGCTTTTAAAAAATATTCCATGTAGGCGAACAAATTTGTGTTCAATTGGGGATGGTGCGAATACCAAGGGGCACTGAATTGTTTAAATATGAAAGTAAGAAAATTAATTTCATTTTTATTTCCAACGTGTGTCATATCTTTTATAATTGTTTAAATTACCGTGAAATCTGTACCATTTTTGGCACTTACTAATGTTTCGGAAAAAATATTTGTGCCTTTTTTATTCGTTTTTATTCGTTTTTATTCGTGAACACTCTATACTTCTATCAAATCAAAGCTCTCTTTCTATGGCATCAAAGACACTGAGCTTGTGTGGATAAAAAGCTATCTATCAAACCGTTATTAGTTTGTTCAGTGCAGCTATCCGAATCTCGAGTTGTTAATTATGGAGTACCCCAAGGCTTATTTATGGAGTACTCCAAGGCTCAACAGCCAAAGGGGAGCAAAGAATGTGGGCTCATGAGCATTCAAGATCATAATAAATTCAAGGCAGCGATACAGATCTTTAGATGCCTGCAAGAAACTGCCATCCCAAATCTTGCATTATATATCCAGAAAGTGGACCACAATTATAACATGAGAGGAATTTCATCATCATGGTCAGGATGGAGGCTGCGAAAAAACTTCATTTCGTTTCCAAGGCCCTTCTTGCTTCAACGACATCCCAATTTACATCCGCCAATTAACATCGATTGTTCAATTCAAGCATCGATTAAAAGAACTTTTCCTCAGCAACTAGTTCACTTCAGATCCACTAAACACGATGTTTACCCTTTATTACTTTCATTTTCAACTTTTCATTTTTATTTATAATTACTTTTCATTTTTAACCATGTAAATACTTTTATTTAGAACAGGGCCGTTATTGGTAACAGTGCTTTTGGCACTGAAAAGGCTTTACCCTGTATAAATATTTCTATTATTATTATTGTTATTATTATTACTACGTTCTTCCCTACGACGCCGCCCTCTCTCAACCACCGTCAATGTTTGAAAGGAGCAATATTTGTTTGTGTTTGCATGCAGGCACAAAAGGTCTAAAACAAAGAGGATAGTTTGCAAGAGGCGTCATTCTTATCAATATTTCCTATAAATATTGGGATCTAGGCAGAATTTAGTTACATAATTGCAGTTACATTTAGTTACGTTTTCTATTCAGTATCACCTTACGTCGAAGTTAGAAAAATGTCAATCACATTTGTAAATTCATGATAATCTTTTACAGAGAACCAATCATCAGATTAACCAAATGAGAGAAAAGCAATTGCAATGAACGAGCTAACAGTTACTTGCCAATTCTTTCACTACCAATGAGAGAAGGGGCATGAATTGAGCTAGTCGTTTATTGAGCTACAAAACAGTTTTTTGCAGATTTTGTCACTTATTTTAGCGTGTCGTCGATTTTTATTCCAAGTTACTTTTTTACATATATTATTAAAAAAAATTACTTCAAGCTATTTAACATGATTATTTTTGCCCTGTTTTTAATAATTGGAATTAAGATGGATTAACATTATCAGCAAAGATCGAAATTGTTGCATA